AAATTCTTGCCAGAGATGTAGGAATCAGTGTAGAGGGACACATTGTGATGCCAAATACCATGTAGTTTTTAGTTTTACATACTGAAAATTGTTACAGAATTGCAAAGTACCAGTCTAACTGTTGTATAGACTAACACTTATCACCAGGAGGTTCATTCAAGTCATGTTTAATGTATTTGAAGACAGAAATCAAAACATTATTATACGTTTTTGTAATAAATTTAAAATCATTTAAGGTTATATTTTGATATAGAGGAACATACTTTGGATATAATCTAATTGATATCACAAGCTGTCAGGATAGCAGTTACAGTGAAAACTAGCAAAATTATGCTTATTGGTAATTATAACATTTATGGAACCAATTAAAATGGATACATAAAGCATGTGCGAGTACGAAACCACCAGTAACTCAAAACAACCTCATGGCAATGGGTGACTAGTACACATGTTATTGCAGTTTCAGTGTTCTCACAGAAAGAAGATAAAAACATGTAAATAATAACATTTTTAATGATGTGTTAAGGGGCTAAGCAGATTATTATTTTAATTTGTTTTACTATACTATTATTATCAACAAACCTCCCCCACATGACTAGGGTAAACTCCCTCTAGTGTGACAATGATGTATTTGTAAATATATTGGTTATAAGAAAATACCAGAAATGATTAGGCTAAACTCTATAAAAGAGAATTCAATTATTTTTAGTGTAAAAGATATTTGTATTTATGTATTATGATTATGCCTTGGAATTGTATTGATTATAGACTACAGGAGTCATTTCCTTACATGTGCTTATTTATTGGTTTTCCAGATACCATTTTTGACTTGAGTAATTCAGTGTAATGTGGATGAAATTTTAAGAAATGAAAGTTAGTCAACCAACGTCTTATGATATACAGTACCTTTTCCTCTGTGGAGAATCATTGTTCTTATCAAATTGGAAATGATAGAAGCAGATTTTTTCATTGTTTTTGTTTTACTCATTTTGCAGGACCAGACGCAGGCACTGGATTTGTTGAAAGTGTTACAGACTCTTCCAATCAACTTCCAGGTGAGTTGTTGCATTAATTATTAATTAATATCATTTTATTTATTGTTATCATTATTAGTTTTTGTGTTTGGTTATATTTATTAACTTTCTTGTAAGGAGTTTTGATTAGTAGGTTTTTATGTAAGCATGTATTTTATAAATGACTTTTAGGTTTGGGATGTGTGATCATGGCTTCATTATCAGGTATGATCATTATCTAAATTTTTATAGGTTTAATTGAACTCACAGATAGCAGGTAGCATGATACTTTGTCTATACAGTGATGGGCAGATGGTGTAATATTATGGCTAAGGCTGAGGTAGGTGGGATTTTGCCTGCCGTGAGAGGTCCCCCTGGCTGCTCTCTCTCTCCAACATCTAGAGGCTAAGGAATTTTATTTCTGATGCATAATCAAGGAAGCTATTTCCTTCTTGGGCAAATGATTGTAGGTCTTGATATCAAGAAATGTGATTTTATTTTGTGGGATATAATGCACATGTGGTATTATTACTTCAGTGGATTTTTGCAGTTGCCTGATGTTGGTAATTGAAAGGTTATGGAGTATAGATACAATTTGTCTTCCCCTCCCATCTCCATCACTGAGTTCTGTGTTGTGTACCTGTTCTATCCACCTTGTGCAGAAATTTCATGATATAAGCCAATAAGACTAGCTTCCTGCTAGAATCCTGAAAGTAATGGGAAATAGCACTGATTATCTTTTGTGGTTTACATACTCTTAACCATAGTGTCATGTATTAATTACCTGAAAAATGTTTGGCTTTCAATTTTACTAAATGCATACAAGACAACTCCAGAGCATTAGTCTAGCTATAGAATATAAAAGTATGCAGAAAAGCTACAAGAAATGTGGTAATTTGCCTTTTTTGTTGCCCTGTTCTGAGACCTGCCAAAGATTTTCGTCCTATTCCCAATTGCTGCTAGGTACATGCAATGTGGACTCATAGTTTTGTTTTTTGTCAAGTTTGCACACTTATATGGCTTCACAAGTCTTTTCTCAACAAGGAGCCAATTACTAGGCCTTGATTTTTTTGGGGGAAAAGTCTAGGTTTGATCCTGTTGTTGCTATTAGGATGTTATTAACAATGATAATTAGCAATGAAAATAAAAGTATATTTCAAAATTCTAGGAATGAGGTAAAAGCATGCCATCAGGCAGGCCTAATAATTGTCTTATTGAAGACTAAGAAGTTCTGGGGCCATGTACATATAAAAAAATTATGAAAGAAAATAACAATGGCAGGGCATACATGCACTCCTGCATGAATGGGTAAATAATCAAGTGTGTGTGTGAGCTGCTGCTTATAACAGTTTGGAACATTGGATATTCTAGTTTAACCCACAACATTGTAGATTTTTTTGTATCATTTAATGTAATCTAATCCTGCGATTCATTCCAGCAAGGTAAAAATGATGTATAATTACATTCACTAGGATGTTCCATTAGACAACTCATCTACCAGACTGTAATTATGATTACCCACAGTTTTACAGTTAGCTCGGATTATATACATGGAATTAAGATAAATCAATGTTAGCCATAATCTTCCCAATACCTGAAAATACTGAAAATACTGAAAATACCACACTATTATTTTAGAATGAAAAAGAAGCCTTTGCCAGTGAAAGATATAAGAATGGCAATGTTTATATACCCATAGTCTACAACAAACATAGTTGAGTTGAATTTTTTTTGTTAGTTTGGGACCAGAAATTAGTTATAATTTTATAATCTTGGTTTCTGAATTTTGTGTTGGTCTGTGGCTCAGAACTGATTACCCTTGCATTTTATTGTAGGTACTATCTAAAACTCGCATTGGCATGACCGTCAATGCCCTACGAAGAGCGTCCTCAGATGATGATGTAATTTCAACAGCTAAACAGCTCATCAAGAACTGGAAAAAATTTGTTCCTGGTGAGTCTTTGATGGTAAGGGTTGTTACATGTTGATTTTGTTCAGAAGGTAACGAGGATTACCTTTTGATACCATGTTTACCAGCAACTTCCCTAGTGAGTCTAGGCATTTGCCTTCGTTTTGAAAATCATAAGGTTTAGCCGTCTTTATGGGTATAGTATAAGCTCATTTACCTTGAATTTTGTAATGAAGGGTTTGCTATTTTAGTTTGCTTTTTTTTTTTTTTTTTTTTTTTTTTTTTTTTTTTTTTTTTTTAGTTTACTTACCTTTATATGTTGATATGAATACGATCATGGGGCACAGTATTTCTTACATATGCAGTATGTGTCTAGAATGATATTTAGTTTGAATTTTGAGAAGTCCTTGTGAAAAGATAGTCATAACTTTTTTTGTTTTTTAATTGAGTAAGGTTGTATATTGGTTAGAAATTTGGCATTATCACATATCTCCAAGTCAGCCCGATGACCCTAGGATGACAAAACTACGTGTCTTGTCCACTGTGATAGATGGATCTATAAGTGCTTAATTGCTAAGGAGTTAATTTTTACCTTTTTCCTCGTTTTTTGTAAAAGAGAAGAAAAAAAAGCTATCTATTTGTATTACTAGGATATTATAATAACTCAAACATAATATTATCATCATTAGTACAAGCATTAAAGAAAAAAAAAATCCCAAAAACTCAAAGAAAAGGGAAATCAGGTAAGGTCATTATTATTGTTATTATTATTATTTTTATTATTATTTATTATTTTTATTATTATTTATTATTATTTATTATTATTATTATTATTATTATTATTATTATTATTTATTATATATTATTATTATTATTATTATTATTATTATTATTATTATTATTATTATTATTATATTATTATTATTATTATTATTTATTATTATTATTATTTATTATTATTATTATTATTTTATAGATAGATTGGCCCCACAAGATCTTACTAAGGAGTAGTTATACTCCATTTCTTGTATTTAAAAAAAACAAATTAACATTATTATTATAACTGTAATGATTGATGGGAATAATATCAAAATAAATTCTAAGAACCAAAAGAGTCAAATTGCACTCCCAAGAGATTTGTGCGCTCGTGGCGAGTCTTTTCCATCACCCTGGCCTTCGCTCATGATAGCATGTTTGCCTTGCTTGAGCTGCGGCCAATTTGCCCGATGACATTATATATTATATCACGTCACCTGCCCGTCGACTCATTTTTCCACGATGTGACTGCAATGTCATCTGGGTCCAATGAGTTAAGGATAACCATTATAGTTATACTGATAATATAAATAAGCTGTTTTTTCTCTAAACAGTCAGGAAATGGGACAAAGAGATTTGTATTTTGGTGACTAAGTGCTTAAACTCAGGTTCCAATACCCAGACTCAGACTCTGAAGTACATTCGTACACTGTATTGGCTATATTGGAATTGCAGTTGTGTATAAACTGGTTTCAGAACAATAGACCTATGCATGTAATGCTATTTAACTTTAAAACACAAACATAGAATACGCATCTACATTGCCAGATATAAGATGGGCTCACTTAGTTTTGCCAAAAAGGCAAAAAACCCTGGCTTTTAATCTGATTCCAGAGTTGGATAATTCTATATTAGCTACTGTTTGGATTTTTAAGATGCAAGTTGTACTTTGTTTTAAAGACATTTATCTTGTATGGTGTACTAAGCCTTAAATATACCCTGTGAGTCTTCAGAAATGTTGATTATCAGCAATAATTTTTTCCCCCAATAGACAAGAAAGAGGATGAAGATAAAGACAATAAAGAAGAGAAGAAGAAGGACAAGGAGGAGAAAAAGGAGAGTAAGAGTGGCAGCAACAGTAACAGCAACAGCAGTAGCAGTGGGAGTGGGAGTTCCAAGCCTACCTCGTTTCCTCCTTCAGCTCCACCTACCACCGACGCCCTGCGGCTGAAGTGTCGAGAGATGTTAACAAATGCTCTCAAGTGTTCAGGTTAGTTACCTCCATAGTTTGTTGTCATTGGGATTGGGATGTTACTTTTGCTTTTGTGTTGTTTATTTTGTTTTTTTTTGTGCTTTTATTGTACTGTTTTTAATTTTCAGTGCAGGTTGATCAGAATTAGATTTTATTTTTTCTTCCTTTGTTGTCATACAAGTAGAAAGTTCTCATGAGGAAATGCTTTGAAATTGTTCAATTGTGGTTAGAATGTGGTTTGTAAGTTTATAATACGTGTAGTCATTCAGGCAGAATAGTATTTTGTTTGCAGTAAGATTTTGGACAAGTTTAAACTGGCTGTGAATGACAACACAAACATATAGAAATCTTGACACACTTTATTATTTTTTTAGCAGTCTTAGTTTATTTAATTGTGCAAAAAAAAAGTTACACATACACATGCCATTGCATGTATGGCAGGTATAAGCGACTCTAGGGCTTTTCCTTGTAAAGTGGGACATAGCGTAACATCCCCCTAAATGTTGGTTCCTTTTATTTATTTCTTCCTCTTTCCTCTCTTCCTTCTCTCATACCATGCACAGAAAATAGGTATCATTTGATTTTTTAAATTAAGTCTATGAGAGAGGTAGACAAACAACATAGGCATTCTTACTCAAGGTTGTCATATATGGTCTTTTGTTTTTTACCCCTGAAGGGGACAGTGTGACCATGACCACTGTAGGCTGTTTGAGGTCTAAGGTCTTTGCAGGACAGACCCACCCACCACCTACATCCCCAGCTACTTCCACTACATGAACCATTTGTGTCTGACTATATCAAGTGTCCCATGTTAGCTTCTTACATGGTATATAGATGTCCCTGGACAATGGCTGTGCTTCTGGGTCCCAGGATAATGGCCATACTTAGGGTTCAGATGGATTGAAATTTTTTAAAGCAGTCATAGCAATATTTTTAAAATGCATTTTTGTAATAGTTATGAGAAATGCAGTGTAAGGAATACATGACATATTTAAATTTTGCAAGAGAATGGTACTTTTGGACTCCTAACAGTAATATGAAAGTACAACTTGTGATTATTTTCTTCACAGCATTTAACCCATTGCTGTCAGGTACATGTCAATTAGTAAGCCCTGTTGACTCGTCTGATTTTCCCGTTCCTTGAATTTTTGTGATTAACCTTATGATTATTGTCATGCTATTGAAATATAAATAGTAATAAAACAAAAGAGAATTAATGGCAGAACACTCATCTTGATTCTACTGTTTGAAAAAATGTACAAACTAGACTGAACAAAGTGTTTTTTCTACCATTAAAGAAGCTCAGAAAATTAAGGAAATGAGAAAGTGGGTGAGATAAGTAGGACTAGTCACTGACTCCTTGGTGACTAAGCTCTTGCGTGCCATCTGTTTGGAAACACAGATGATAAACTAAAAGTACAGGGGATACAGTATGTATTTACATGCCATCCCCAGTGGCAAAGGGTTAAAGACTGAGACTGTCACATCATAATGAAGACATATCCTGAAGTTCTCTAAAATATTTACATTTTGGTGAATGGACGCATTGACCAACATCCTTAGTTGCATTGCATCTAGTCAAAAGCCTTGGCTAATTTGTGAAGATAATTTTACCCTTGTAGATGGTGGTATTTTTAAGCAGTATCATAACAAAGCTGTGATTTTCTTAATGAGTTCACTATATCCTCTTCGAATACAGATTGGATACTATGATAGTAAATATCAAATGGGTGATTGTGTTAGGGTCTTTGAAGGTGTTTGTTTTCCTCAGTGGAAGTAGTTGGACACCCCAAATCAAGGTAAACATGGTCCAGGGTGTATGTTTAAAGTAAAAGCATTTTGGAACCTCTACAGTAATATAGCTAACAAAGAAACAATTTGTAAGTAATCAACATCAAATTAATAAGAATAGCAGGAGGAGAAAGTTATGTTATGGCAGACATACTTAGTTGTGCCTGAAAAATTGCAGTGTTGATTGATGACGATTAAAAAAGTGTGCAGAGTATAGTGGGTGATGCAAGCGTTTTGATTCACTTCTCTTAAGATAATAGAAATGATATCTGAAAACATTTTGCAAATCAAATTCATTGGTTCTGAAATATTAGTTTACTAAAATGTGGAACGTGTAAAACAAAAATTCGCTTCAGTGTAAGTAGTGCCCTCTCAGTTCCCAATTCAACATTTTTCTATCCACTTTCATGGGTAATTTAATGAAGAAATCATCAGTTATATGCAAAATCAAGTATTATGCATGGTTTTGATGACATTAAAGATTATGAATGTCATTTTCATTAACCCCTTCAATCTGGATGCTTCACTTGCCCGCAAATGGCCCAATATACAGGCATCAGGCTTACTTGAGCAGCTATTTTGATGGGTGTGTGGCTTGTAGGCTGGGTGCACAGGGACACTCGTTTGCTGCGACAAGACTGTGTGCCTTCCCATTGCAATGTCATTTTCTCTTTTTCTGTAATCGCCCTGTTTTGCCATTTTCCAATGCCTATATTTGTCATTTGATATGCTATATCTGGATTGTAATAGACTGTTTTATTTGCACTGGCTCCATATCATCTCTCTAGGTAGTCCATAACTTGGTACAATAATAACAAAAAGTAACAGTTTAAATTTTTTTGTAATATTCAATTTTCTAGAATATAACCTCCATTGTTGCTCACAGCAAGCAGCAATAGGATTCTGAGCATGGAAATAGTGTCCACTCTGGAGCCAGCACTCTTCCAGTCATAGCTCACAGATGGTACATTCCATACTAGTTTATCAATGGAAATAATGCAAAACCCCTCCCTAATTGCCCAGGGTCTAACCAAATTTTCTCATAACATGTTCATATCACCTGCCCCACAAGTCAAATTTTTTGATGTGATGGTCACATATTCCGGATCATGGGAGTTAACCCAATGTTGACGGGAAAATGGTGTGTTCCCTATGGCAATGCTTATTTAAATGTTTCTGCACATAGATGGCTCTGCCAATGCTTAGCCACAAAGGAGTCAGTTAGCAGATCTTGCGACCTCACTTTTCCTTGAAAAAGTGGGAAAGTGCTTTTTTTTTTTTTTTTACTCATGCTATCAATATTGACACTTATTTTTGTTATAAACATTATAATTACTATATTGCTACTGACATTACTAACAGCAGTATTAAATATTAGAATATATTATCGAAAATCAAGGAAAAGGGTAAACAGGTGAGACAGGTAATTTGTGTAATTGGCTCATTGGTGACTTAGTACTTGTGGAGCTATCTATAAGTAAAAACAATTACTAAATTCAACACACACAATGGGCAATGGCATATACGTACATGCCTTGCCCGGTGGCTTGGGGTTAATTACAAATAGTTACCTCCCTTGCTTTGTTGTGGGTCAGTATTCCATAGCAGACTCTTTTGTGTTTTATGAAAAGTTTGAATACTATTTATTGACATAAGCTTCTTCTCCAGAATTACCAGATGGCATTGTTGACACCCCAGAGAGTCTCGGAGAACAGATTGAAGAAGCCATTTATCAAGAGTATCGCAATACTGATGCTGCCTATAAAAATCGCTTACGATCTCGGGTGTATAACCTAAAGGACAGCAAGAACCCACAGCTGCGAGAAAATGTCCTTAGAGGTGTTATTTCTCCCAAGAGATTGGCCACCATGTCATCTGATGTAAGTGATTATATAAAATTAATGTCATCATTGTCATTTTCATTGTCGTCGTCATCAATATCATTATAATTGTCATCACTGTCGTCATCATCAATTCTCAATTATCAGTCATCATCATTATCATCATCATCAATTGTCGATCATCATCATCATCATCATCAGTTGTCAATCATCATCATCATAATCAAAAATTGTCAATCATCATCAATTGTCAATCATCATTCAATAATCATCATCATCATTCAACCATCATCATCCAGTCAATCAATCAATCATTTATCATCGATTATCAATCATCAGTGAATCAAAAAAAAAAAAAAAAAAAAGAAAAAAAAATCAATCAATTAGTCATCAATCATCGTCAACATCATCACCATCACCATCATCATCATCAACAACATCAACATCATCATCAGTCATCAATGACCAATCATCAATGATCAATCATCATCAACCATCATCAATCATCATCATCAACCATCATATCAATCATCATCATCATCACCACTTCTTTCCAATAGAAAAGCAGATATAAGTATTTTAAGTGTAAGCCTTTTTTTTCTTTTCTTCAATAGTTATTATTTTCTGAGTAGATTTTTCCAGTTGAGTATGCATGGTCCCTTTGTTTACGCATAACCTGGATGACTAAGGAAATAACATATAAACGTTTGAAATTCTGTTTTGACCACACAAGATATTTGAAAAATATATCAAAGTAGAATCAAGTCGCATAAATATTTGTGAACCATTGAATAAAGCCGTGTTATAATTGCATCAACCCCTTCTGTGCAGGAAATGGCAAGCGATGAGATGAAAGCACTTCGCGAGAAATTCACCAAGGAGGCTATCGATGATCACCAGCTGGCAGTGGCCCAAGGCACCAAGACCGACTTGCTGAAGTGTGGCAAGTGTGGACAGAGGGATTGCACCTACAATCAGGTATGTGTGGATTTCCTTCCTGTGTACATTTTGCTTCATTCGTTTCTCTTTTGTTTCTTCTTCATTCTTTTTTTCTGTTTTTTTGTTTTTTTGTTTTTCTTATTAAATTATTTTTTTTCTCCTTCATTTCTTACCTTTTCTCCTTATTTTTATTTTATTTTTTTCCATTTTTCTTTCTTTCCTCTTTTCCTCTTCCTTTCCTCTTTTCTTTTCTTCACCTAATTTTCTCCTGCCCTTTCTTCATCTACTTTCCTTCTTCCTTTTCTTCACCTACTTTTCTTCTTCCTTTTTCTTCATCTACTTTTCTTGTCTTCTTTTCTTCATCTAATTTTCTTTTCTTTTCTTCATCTAATTTTGTCTTCTTTTCTTCATCTAATTTTCTTGTCTTCTTTTCTTCATCTAATTTTCTTGTCTTCTTTTCTTCATCTAATTTCTCTTCTTTCTTCATCTTTTCTTTCTTCTTTCTTCATACTTTTTTTTATATTCTATATTTTTTATATTCCTTTCTTCTGCTTTCTTTTCTTCTTAGTCCACGTCTTTTCTTGCATTTCTTGCATTTCTTATTCTGCTCTAGCTCCTCTTTCTCTACCTTCTCTTCTTTCTCTACCTTCTCTTCTTTCTCTACCTTCTCTTCTTTCTCTACCTTCTCTTCTTTCTCTTCCTTCCCTTGTTCCTCTTCCTTCTCTTGTTTCTCTTCCTTCTCTTTTTTCTCTTCCTTCTCTTCCTTCCTTTGTTCCTCTTCTTCCTCTTCCTTTTCTTCTTCTTCCTCCTCTTTCTCTTTCTCCTCCTTTTCCTCCTCTTTCAAAAATGTAATTGAGAAAGGTCTTGAAAAAGCAAGTGTATATTCTTGTATAGAGATGCAGTGATACTTCATTACATTTATATCAAAGATTGCAAGTATCTCGAGACTTTACAAACATCTTGTGCCTCCTTAGTAGCTCTTGAATTATAGTTATTGATACTGTCCTTTCTTCTTTCTCTAATAGATGCAGACAAGAAGTTCTGATGAACCGATGACGACATTTGTTTTGTGCAATCACTGTGGCAACCGCTGGAAGTTCTGCTAAAACAATTGGAGGAATCCTTTGTGGGCCAAAATACTATTTTTTCTAGTTTTATTTTGGAGGTGTTAACGATTGACTCATCCACGAATGTTAGTTGGTAAAGTTGGTATTAAACCTTCACCATCAGATAGACACACACACGCTCAAGCACACACACATACACATACACACAGGCACACTCATTGACACTCCTATGTGGAGACGTGTAGTAGAAAAGAAACCTTCACTCTAATACTAATGCTAACACAAACAACACTAATGTAAACCCAGATGCAGACACAAAGACACGCACAAGCACAAGCACATGCACAAAACACAAATGCAAACACTCACAAACTGTATGTGCTAATGCATTGATAAGAACTATTGAGAGATAATTTATGTAATTTCATACTTTTGCATTATACTCTACTGAATAGTGCTCCGGGCTTAACACTAGATTCAACTGCAATAACTGACTGTAGATAGTAACACCATGCTAAGAACTCTTTAGCACTTGCTATTGCACTTTTTTTTATTATTATATTTTGATTTCTATATAATATTTTTGGAAGTAAAATAAAAAAAGTAAAATACTTTTCATTCTATCAACCTTTTTATTTTTGTAAGTGTTGTATCTTGAGAAATATTAGAAAGTTCATCTACCAGACTTGAGTGGAAAAAATTAAGCGTAGCCTTTATTGCAGAGTTGGCAGGATTGTGTACAAGAGTTTTGTTATTTAGATATGTTGCCCACAGATGCATGGAGATTTGCTGTAAAGAAAAGGGTCTTTCAGAATAAATGTCATGGTTTTCATTTATGTTTATTTTACATGTGGAAAGGAAATTTCAAGCTTTAAATTTATTTAATAGGAGTCATAGGTAGTGTAAAATCCGTAGCAGCACACTGCAGGAAGAAATTATTTTAAATTTGATCAAGGAGAGTGCATGTATTTTGAACAGTTCAGTGACATAGTGTTGGTTTTTCTTTTCGATTATTTTTTTATTGGTTCTATTTGTTATACATGTTCTGAACCTAAGGTCAGTTCCCCAAATGTTGTTTCCCATTGAGAAGAAACTGTTATGAATCTTTGTTTTTGTTCTTTGATATGCTTTTTTTTAATGCTCTACTGATTTAGGTTAAAATAGAAAAGCCTTGTGTAAATAAAACCAGGTCTTATAACTTTTTCTTTCTTTATTCATAATGAAATGCTATTGGACACTTGGTAGAACATAATGTGGAAAATTGAGGAAATATGTTAAGAGGAATATATTAAGTCCTAAAATGTTTAGCAACTTTTGTTTTATGGGCAAATGAAAGTTCCTGGTATCTCTTTGATGTATGTGAAAGTGAAATTGTCAAATTTTACTTTACCATTCCAGAAAAAGGAAAGAAAATAATTGGAATAATCGTGTCTTTAGGAAATTAACATCACAAAACAATTTATATATCTATATATATATTTAGCTGTTTCCATAATGATGTGAACTTGTTTATATATATATATGTATATGAATATATATATATATATATGAAAGGCTGTGTTTCTATATTTGTGGCTATATATTTGACATGCATTTCATTTTTTATCACAGCCATCTTTTAACTTTACTGTGGAGCATATGTATCAAGCATCAATAGGAAATTTACTTGATATAGGTTGCTTTGTGATTCGTGTAATTTTAGTGTAAGTCGTCATATTTATTAGTTTAATGTGAACTTGCGCAAAATTACCTTTTGTCCGGACTTTGTGCAAAGCCAATGCAGTATAGGAAACAACAAGACCATCTGTATGGCTTGAATTGATTTTATTTTCAGTTGGAGTATTTCCAAACTTGAAAGGCTTAATTCTAGAATTAATGCAGTTTTCATATCTTGAGTACTGTGTTCTTGTCAATACAAATGTACCTGTAGAACTCCTGTTTCATTTTCTTTCCTATGGACAGATATATACCACATGAAATTCTAAGATAAGTATGGTTGAAAATGCACAGCACTTTCCAGAATGTCTTGTCTGTGACTGGTAGATCATTTGCATAAGATTCTGTCCAAGTTTTTAATCATAATACGCAGTACGTGTTCTTGACCAGGATGTCAGTTGTGCAATCCAAGAACTTGTACAGTGTATTTGATGTCTCGTGTGGAGTACTGGATAAATGTTTTAAAATTCTATTACCATTACTTTATAGAAAAAAGTGGTTGAATCCAGAGTAAATTAATAACCTTAAAATTTATTTTAATGGTGGATGAGAATCTGCAACAACAGCATTCTGCTTGAGATCATTTTCCCTTGTTCATCTCCGGTGAAAGATTTGTGTTACCGAGATGAAATGATGGCCGCATAAGAAATCAAGAAATGGAGAAAGTACTATACACATGTAAATTATAGGCAGATTTTCTTCCTGCTTTATGACGGGTATATGGTATTACCCATCTGGAAGTGCATATATTTGAAAAGTGTCATCATGTCTGTGTTTGAAAAAGAAAAGTTTTGGGAAAAATGTAACCAGTAAGTTATATAAAGTCAGATCTCGATATACATTCCACGCTGGAACAGATAGACCAACTATCATTCGTAGCCCAATATTCTAAGACCATTTTTTCAAGATTAAACCAACATGATGTCCTGGGGCCGGATTCTCAAACGCGTTAAGGCGCCATATCTCCTTAAGGCGCCTCAACTTACGGCGAGCGATCTTACGGCCCATGCACAGAGCAAGGAACCCGCCATATTGGCACGAGTTAAGGCGCCCTCGGTTAAGGCAGGGGAAAAGCAGCCTTAGCGAGTTACGGCGAAACATAAACATTTTCAGCCCGAACAATTAGAACAATAAATACAACATTACAATTTGTAATTTACTCAATTATAGTGTCATTAGGTGTACATAAACCAATTGTGGACTAATAGATAAGGCAACAAGTGTAGTATTCCAACATAACTGTGATTTGCTTTTCACGACAGATGGAACCACACACCATTTTTTGGGTGAATAGAATAATTTTGTAATAGCTTTCGTCGTGTTCCGAGCGAATCTAGCGCTCATTTCCTTCGCAAACGAAGTATAACTACGATATCGGTTCCGATAGCTGGGGAAGGCATGATACATATCAGTTAATTTGGGGGGTAATTTCGAGATATATCGGTAGAATACTAGCAAACATAGTATATTGACACATTTCTTTTGCCACGTGATGACCTATTCCATATCTGATTGGTTCTACTGAGTGTCCATGTTCACATCACGTTCGCGCTCGAATCTAATTGGCTCATATGATTTCCCTTGCCCACGTCGTCCGCTACAATTCTGTCTGATTTTCCGTCACTCTTAACGACTTTTTAACATTTGGCGCGGCGTAGGAGGCGTAAGCTTACTGCGGCTCCTGGAAAGCGTTCATGTTATACCCTTTGTAACACCGTTATTATCAATTTGCGCAGAAAATGGTATAGAGGCAAATTCTTAGAATGATGTGGACTACCACGGGGTAAGATCAGAATAATTAAATTAGGTGTGGGGTTGCATTTTCAATAATACCAATTTTGTTAAAAAGTTACATCATGCCACGGGCTGGACACAGCGTTGTGTTTACGAAATCAGCTGATTGGCATTTACGGCTTGTGATTGGTCAAGATACCCTAAGAACCGCCTGAAACGGCAGCTGTGATTGGCCACCGAAGATCCGACGCCTGAAGTGATTTGCGGCGCTACGGGACTAAAGGCAGGGATAAGGCGCCTTAAAAAACGTTTGTGCATACGAAGCTAAGTCCGAGATACGGCGCCTTTGACGGACCTTAACTTAGGTCGCCGCAGGACGGTTAAGGCCTCCAGCGCGCCTTAACTTAAGGCTCTTTTGAGAATCCGGCCCCTGAATACATTAGAGCTAAGAGCAGTGATACATGAAACTGAAAGCTCATCTTCGCAGCCTTATCGTAAGTGATACAATTTATAAAATGCTAAAACGCGCGACCTTCTTATTAGTGTATAGCAAGAGTTGGAAAACACTATGAAAATCACGGACATCAAAGCGAAAAAATCCTTGCGACCTAATTGATTTGATCTGTCAACGTTTCTGATTAAATCTAGATTACATCTGATTAAAGCTTTTATACAGAAATGAAATTAGGTTCTCGTATAATTGTTATAGTACTGTTGCGCAACACAGCACGCAGTCATATTGGATCATAACTGGTGTTGGTTTTACTGCTGCTTATAACCATTGCACTTTGTAAGGGTATAGGTGCAAATAATTTAGCGTGGGTATTCGAGAAATCCTCAATCAGCCAGAATGTCTGTGAACCCATGTTATTCATCTTTGAACGATTGTACTTGTTACGAGATTTGTAATAACTGACTTGAGACGCCATGCTATCAGTATTTGAATGTATAGCACAATTAAGGTTTGGCTGAACTATTTGTAAGGAAACGGCATGCATTCGGACGGATGTACATTAAGTGCATTTTTTCAAACGAATGTTTACTATTATCCACTCGTAACACAAAAGTAAAAAAGTTTTTCCTTTGAAATTATTACGAACGCAGAAGTTAGAGGATTCAAAAACTGTACGTTGCCAGTAGCGCTACTATTCAAAAGGCTTATTATTGATTTAGTAAATGAATAACTGGTTCATTCATTCAAAATCTTGTTGAAATTCCTGTTTTGAGTCAGTCGAATAAGGCCCACGTGATGCACATACGACTACATCTATTTTTTTTACAAGCAACTTTCAAATTCCAAGAATAGGTCCTGCTCCTTGTGCTTCTGGATGGTGCTCATATATTGCATTTACTTTAGAAGGCTGTTCTACCACAAAACTATAAAGAAAGACATTAACGAAGACCAACCAGACACCCGATGAATATGTCTAGACATGTCAGAATAGAGTCTACAAGAATTTCCTGTTGAGTCCAGACTAACCTACCGCAGTAACTCGACTTCATCATATTGCGGGTCCTTTGGTTTGGAATTTCTACATTTACTGTATCTCCAGTAAAGGGTCACACACATTTATACATGTATGTATGTTTACATACATACTTGCAGATCCGCACACAGATATAGACACGGCATCTTGTGCACAAAAAGACATGAAAGAGCCACAATAATTAAGGAACACTAATTCATGACGCTTCGAATCCGATCGTTCATCTAGCCAGACCGCAAAACCAAATTGGATACTCGAATAAAATTTGGAAACGATTATTAATAGACATAAGGAACAAGAACTGAATCAGAACAGGAGGCGCCCCAATACCAACTAATCCTGGGACATCTTTGCTAAAATTGAAGAAAAGTCACTGACCAATATTTAGATTTAAATTAAGTGGATTTGCACATTTTCCTTATTAAGAACTGAATAATAGATTACTTTATCCGCATTTCAATTAAAATGAACTAGCATTGTAAAAAAAAAAAAAAAAAAAAAACATTGAATGCAAGGGAAAGCATAGATACGTTGGAAATTGTCATTGATTTTGTTAGCCGTGTTGTGGTTCATTATAGTTTGTGCAATGTTAAAAACTACTTTAACTAAGAAAACGACAAATTTCAATTTTAAAGTTAATATAAATAGCTTTCTGTAACTTTATATTCTCGCTACCAATAAATATAATACAAATCATCTAGGACCAACGTATATAACGGCATCTTATCAATATTATTGTCATGTCACATGTCTGCAAGAAAGTGGACAATAATTATGCGTTGCTGACTATAAGTTTTATTTTGTCTAATTTTGAAGTATTTCCTTTTTTAAATGTGCGCTGCAGGATTGGTTAGGTTCGACAGGCGGTGATGAAAGGGGCTCCTAAATAATGAAATAAGAAATTTACTAATACAAGCAAATGATAAATTCTTCAGAAATGATTTATTTCATTTTCAAAGCTTAGCACAGAATAGATGCATATTCTAATGACATTAAATCAGGACAGAGTGACAACGTACCAACCATGTCCCGCAAATGTGTAGCTGCACCACTTTATAGATGAAAATGTTGCCTTGGAGGGATTTGAAAAATAGGAAGTACCACCACTGAATTTGCCAAAGAGACCTACTTAGTATTCTTTACGGAAGAAACGCCACAATAAGGGCATATACAAATACAAAAACAGAGCGCCCAACGTGGGGCTCGAACCCACGACCCCGAGATTAAGAGTCTCGTGCTCTACCGACTGAGCTAGCCGGGCTTGTTTAAACTTCTGTATGAAACTGTAGTTGTACGTATAACACACAATATATACATTATATCTATATCTATCTATATATATAGAAAGATAATAATATATATGTGTGTGTGTGTATGTTTGTATGTATGTATGCACACACACACACACACACACACACACACACACACACACACACACACACACACACACACACACACACACACACACACACACACACACACACACACACACACACACACACACACACACACACACCACACACACACACACACACACACATACACACACACTCAAAGCAAGTGCATAATATTCCGATATTGAGTTAACCTAATTACTCGGGTTCGGGGTGAACAAAGAAATATAGGCATTCGAATCTTCGAACTTACGGCTCTGTGCCATCGGTTACATATAATATGTGTGTGTATGTGTGTATTATACAGACGCAATATATGTACACACACACACACACACACACACACACACACACACACACACACACACACACACACACACACACACACACACATATATATAATTAATATATATATAAACATATGTGTATATAAATATATACATATACATACATATATATATACATGTATATATACATGACACACACACACACACACACACACACACACACACACACACACACACACACACACACACACATATATATATATATATATATATATATATATATATATACATACATACATACATGCATACATACA